GTGTTGTCGTCCTTTATATATTTTGATGCAATATTATTTGGAATGATTCGTTGTGAATCACCTGTGATTTTCCTCACTCTCTTTTCAGCTTGTTTGAAGTGTAGTGGCTGTAATAATAGGAACAAAGAGCAGGGAAATCCATGCTATGATCCAACAGATGTTGTTTCATTGAGGAAACTGTTGTACTTATACTTTTTAAACTGCATGTTATAATTTAGTGTGAATATTATATCAATGTTTTGTAGTAGCATGCACATTTGAATAATAGCTACATCATTTAAGTTGTATAATTCATCTACGTTATAAAATGAGTTTTCTGGATAGTCCATGAGCTTTTTCGTAAATGATATACTGTAACAATTCCTCAAACGTTAACATAATGTAGTTTGAATATCTTTACTATCTTTATAATCATGACATTTTTTTTTTCAAATGTCCATCCATGTCTCTTTAAGGGCAATCTCTTAACGCCATCATAAATCAGAACACTGATCCATTAAAAACTGGAAAACACCACTGATGATGGCCGAGTGGTTAGCATTTCGAATATAACTACCACTACAAACATGTACACGAGGTAAAATCCTCCAGCTCTGGTCCCTAGTGCAGGATGGGTCAAATGCAGAGGACACCATTTCCCTATGATGCCAATAAAGTGTAACTTATTTTGATATTTAATCTTGACATAATACTGCACTGCACATCAATCGATTAAATTCTAGATCAGTTCGAACAAGACTGAACGTACTTGAAGAATGCCTGTAAGTATCTTACTTACTAACATTACGCCACACAATATTAAGTTGTAACTTATCCAGAATATACAACAATGATTTTGAAAATTGGATTAAATTTGAATTGTGATGCATCCAAGGTCATGTGTATAGCTGAGTAATTACATGGTTGTTTTATTGACACTGGTGCTTTGGCAATTGTTCAATGTTCAATGTGAGTCACCATTTTGGCGTAATATCTTCCACAAACGGCCTGTCCTTGGCTTCTTATTTATGTCGTCTTTTGTTTTTCACAGTTTTTTGTTGGTGTTGAATGATGTATATTATGACTTTTATGGCTTGTCTAGAAATGAGAGGGAGATTTTTCAAGGTGTGGAGGCGAATAAAGTGCAAAGTGTAGCATGGGAAAATAATTGGGTCATCTCAAACCAATGGGACATTAACGCGCCATTGGGCTCCTCTGACTGTCTTCTCTGCCGATTCCTACTTACATTGCAATGAATCAGGACACCCCATAATACCAGGTGAATCAAGGCTAATTAAAGCTACGCCTTTATAGGTCCCTGTCTACATTTTGTGAAGACGACTAGCAGCAGCGAAAATGTTTGAAAATGCACCACCCGTCTTCTAAACAACCGACAAGGCGGCGGCAATGGCTATAGCGATAACCAAAAAAAAACATCATAGGAATCCGCCCATGTCCCGTCTTCCTTGCCTTTCCTTCCCCAACTCTATGCAAATACTCCTTAATAAAAGCGTGCTCACTCAGGGGCCGCAGGTAGAGGCGGCCGGGCTCGGGAAGGTCACATTGTAGAGGAAATTATTCTCTTCACGCTATGGTAATGGAAGCTTTTTTATTAGGGAGCAGAGCCGTCGAGGTTCTTGTCCTCGGCTCGAAGCTGCACCTCTGGCACTGACGCTACCTGTGCTTATTTACTCAGTCCACAGCAGGAAGGCCACTCGCTGCAGGAAAACCAGCCAAGTAGAGTAATTGTGTTTAGGCACAAGAAGTATACTATAAATGTTTTGTTTCAAGTTTTATTGCCACATTAGAAAGATACAGATTCGATTTTCTAGCATTTATAAGTTTTTGTCCGTTAGTATAAGTACAAGGTGCACTATGGCTCAAGTTTAAGTAACCCACATTTTACTGCTGGAGTTTCTAACTTTGAAACTTACTGTTGTTTTATTAACTACCAGTAAAACATTGTATGTAACTAGTTCCTAGTGCTCAAGACTTTGGTCACTAGTTTTCACATCATGTATTTTTGGCCTCTGTCACATCTTTAGATCAGCTTTTGAAGTGAAAGAGCGTACCAGTCCTCACTCAGTCAATCTCAGAATGTAAAAGATAATATATTTTCTCTAAATATAAAAAGAGCATGTTTTGATCTGATTTAAGCGGAAGAGCACTGAAGACAAGAGCCTAATGATATTCAGTCATTATGAAGGGTAGAAGATTTCTTCTACCCTGGTCTTCTAATGGGGGGTACTTCAATCATGTTCTGAGGCAGGTGACACGTTTGTGCGGCTAATGAGATGCATTATTTCCATGCTCGCGTTAATACCGGAGCATATGCCAAACACGTCTCCACCATCAGACTAACCATATGTTTGTGCACAGCCATTAATCTGGGGCAGGGTGTTGACTGTTGCGGCGTTATCCTGTCCAACCCAACTTCTTTTTCCAACTCTCACTTCCTGTTAGCGCAAACGGCCAATGACCACCTCACAGATGGCTGTCGGTGCGGCCAGTGTGGCAGAAGGGCCCTGTCCTCCGCCGTGTGCGTTCACGTTTAGTTCACACGCATCGACAAAGGCACCGCAGCCGCAGCTCTGGGCATCATGCAGTGTCCGCTCAATGACAAATAGTAGCCGCAGACTTCAGGCCGCAGTGAGCTCTCTGGAGGCTCTGAGGGCTCTCGCAGGATGACCCAGTTCCACTGCGCTCCCTTCTCCTCAATACTTCCTCCTCTCATTTCTCTCAGCAGCTTCCACAGCGGAGTTCTGAGTGGTGAGTTTAACGAGTAACAAGCACACATTAAATACCTGTCCAAGTTGTAGTGGGCTTGATGTGAATGCTTCTTCAGTTAAACAGTCTCTGGATGGTTTTTACTGATGATACTCTTCTGTGCTTTATAGTATCCTTCACAATAATGTTGTCTCATTTTAGCCTCAATAGTCGCCAAAAACCACTTACCTACGACAATAAAAACACCACAGTTGATCTTTTTGAGCAATTGGCTTAACTGCAATGCAGCTGTGCTACTATGGGGCATTAATATTAATGAGTCTACCCATTTTGCCCAGCTTGTCTGGAAGCCTGTCAGTCCTTTTTTTCTAGAAAATGTCCATGGTTCAGTGGAAATCTGCCCAAAATGTCATACATACTGCCACTTGGAGGCGCTAATCCTTACTGCGTCGATTGGCTGGGGCTTCTATGTATAGGCCATATTGCCGTCCAATCCCACATGTGTAAATGTGTATATATAGCATAGAAGTAGGACTCGAAAACGGCAAGAACAAAGGAATGATTTATTTCGTGTAATTTGTTCTTTAGCTCAACAGCGTGTCAAGTTTCACCCCTTTGCCTTTACCTAGTGCAAGACTCTCTTGTGTTTTTGTGTTGAATAATTAGCTTGTTTAGTGTCAACTCTCCTCTTTTTACCCAGTGGGAGCTTCACAGATGAGATTACGCAAAAGGCCCCATGACATTTTTAATCCACTGTATCCAAGCAAATAGTAGAGTGTAACAAGAGCAAAACAGTGTGAATGTAAGATTACGTAGAGTGGGTGCGGCTGCTATCGCGGTTAAGCACTGCTCCTCTGCATTAAGTGTTGAAGATGGCTGCAAGCGATGCAGGTGTGTGCGTGAGGAGGCAGAGGCTGGATCAGTGTGCTGCGCTGTTCATCACTGCAGCAGAGTGGAGGCTGCTGATGCCTGCCCCCTGCCTCTCTCTCTGGCCCTTTTCTGCCGCTCTCCAGAGCCTCTGCTGATGATGCTCACTTTCATTACTCGTGAAGGAGCCAGACGAGCTGTAGGTTGAGCAAAAACCCACAGGGAAGTAGCTACACAGATTACCCTCCACCTCAAAGCCTGACACTGTGTTCATTTGCATTTCTCTTCTTTGACTGTCTTAATAGTTAACACTGAGCTTTCGATGTGTCCTCTATGGATACACACAGTACATTGCAGACAGCACTAGTCCATTTTGAATGTACTTTTGTGGACGGAAACACTCCAGCGCTCGAGTAGCAGCAGCTCAGCCGTGGCCCAATCGGACCAGGCACTTCATGGTTCAAAGATATGCCATACATAAGTGCTCAGGGTTAATCAAGGTCAATACTGCTCTCTACAGTCCTGGGATTTCATGTGTTTGAAGGATGCATTGTTTATTTTACTTAATTTTAATACTTCATTTGATAATAGCAAAATTATGTTTGTGTCATTTGCCATTTATCATTTGCCATGGTGATACAACAACCATGGGTTATGTTTATATTCATTTCTCAAGATGAATGAATAATGTGTCTAAAGATGCTTTGAAACAGAAAACTGTACTGGTATATGAACCATGAAATTGAACAAAAACTCTTTAAAAACTGACGGTGTGTTTTTGCTTTGTACACAATACTTTGTCAGCTCATAAAATGTAAAACACCCAGTGTCCCAGTGCACAGATGCTTTTGCAGAAATTGCAGCAGCATCTTGTTGTTGCACATACCCTTGATGCGACCTTCTTTAAAGCAAAATGGATATATCCAGACCTCTTAAGTTCAGGAGCTCTTAAACCATATCAGCTTCCGCCTTTGAAAAGCCAGAGCTGCTGCTTTATCTCTGACTTAACTGAGAGTATACTTGTAAATGTATAATTACTGTTTTGCTTCAGTAAGTTAAGTGCATCATGGGAGATGCTAAGGCGGTTTATCCAGAAAAACACTGGTGTTTTTCAAAGATTGATGTAAATACCAGCGTGTTTAAGAAAGCAGCACTTCCCAACTTGATTTAGTATTCTTGTCCCCTTGTGTGAAAATGGGATGTGCTCCGCTGTATAAAGAGAAAGGAGTATTGGAACATGCAGTGCGTATCAGCACCTCAGACCTTGTGATGTGTTTGCGTACAACAGCTTGTCTGGCTGCAGGCAATCGCTTATTGCTCGAGATGTTTACTCACAGATTAAATTTGGCAGCCCATTTTTGACATGAGTTTATCAAATAGCTTGACCCGTCTTCACACTTGCATGTCTTTCCTTGTGCTCTCTGCAGTGCGATGCGCGTGCTGCTGTCCAAACTGCCGAGGCCGTGGATCGTGGACGAGAAGAAGGACGATGGATACACGGCGCTGCACCTGGCTGCGCTCAACAACCACGTTGAGGTGGCAGAGCTGCTCGTGCACCAGGTACTTTCAAACATACAGGGCTAATTTTAACACATGTTTAATCAGGCTTGACAACACACATGCCATTATTCATACACTGTGAGATACCCTTCATTATGTGGCCCTGCATTGCTGCATCAGCTCTGCTCGCCCTCCTGGATCTTACTGACTACACACCATTAAGACAAGCCCCTGCTGCAGTCCCAGTAGCCAGCGAGTTGTGGACCAGTGGAACTGACTATAGGGGCTCGTTTTTATTGAATCCATACGGTTCACATGGCCTCCAGGGGCTCTGCTTTAGTGCTGCTGGCCCTCACATCTTCTACTGCCGTCATAGGTGTGTGCTCTTTTTCCATTTGAAATTGCTGTTTTTTTGTCCCTCCGGACTGAACCATACTGGAGTTTATGACAAAAGTCACCTGACCAAGTAGGAAGCAGGTTAATTAGGATATGGTGCATTGCTCCAACACATGAGCGCTGGATGCCTTTTGGAGGGGAGTGCTAGGACTGGGCCCTGCAATGGACTAGTTCACTCTGATGGCTCAGCTTTCTATTCAGAAACTGCACCACACACAAGGTGCACTGCAGATCTGCTGCCAGCGCACCAGTCCGTCAGTTTTATTACTTGGGGATTTCACACACTGCCTGATCACAATGCTTATCTCCCCCTCACATCTCCTCAGCCGAGGTGTTCGCAATTGGAAATGACAATCATATGCAACACTGTTGGCAAGATATGTTTAAAGATGATACTTCCTTGGATCGATGTAAAAAAAAAGCGTTTTACTTGCACTAAAGTTTTATTGCTCAGATGCAATTGTTTGAAATGGACTATATGTAACTTTTGTATTGTTTCCTCAGGGAAATGCCAGCCTGGACATCCAGAACGTAAACCAGCAGACAGCCTTACATCTGGCAGTAGAGCGACAACACACTCAAATTGTCCGAGTAAGATGATCCTCAATTCGAGGGCTTTTATGACACTGTTGGATATAAAAATTAATCAAATTTTTGTGATAATGGTTTTACTCTTTATTAAATAAAATTTACCAATATAAAAAAAGAGCAGTTTCACTGGAAAAGCTGCTGTTTAAATGCCCTGTTGTAGCTGTAGTGCTAGTTTAAGATTGCTACGTTGCCCTCTTGTGGGCTCAAGGAAAAATGCAGCTTATAATTAGCGCACTGAAGCTGTACACTGTGGACCAGCACTTGACATTTGTCTGGCGACATTAAATTAAAAATGGTTTATGGACTATAAAGTTGTTCTAGAGTTATCCATCAAGTGACTCTTCATTCATTGTTCTTTCTGCAGCTGCTCGTGCGAGCGGAGGCTAAACTTGATGTTCAGGACAAGGACGGAGACACGCCCCTCCACGAAGCACTGCGTCATCACACACTGTCCCAACTGCGGCAACTTCAAGACATGCAAGACGTCAGCAAAGTGGAGCCCTGGGAACCATCCAAGAACACTGTACTTATGCATAATTTATTCAACGTACTATTAACACCACATAACATCAAGTTGGGCCGGGAGTTTTGAAGTAATGTTTTTTTTAGTGTTTAAATATTATATGCCTACCATTTATAAGTATTAATATGAGCTAATGGACAGTATAGTAATTGAAAACTAAAAGCCCAATTAATCTTGAGCACAAGTATCACTAATCAGGCAGGGCATAAATATGTTAATAATAACGCCCTATAAAGCGCCTTTATGAGACCGCTTTATTAACTACAGCTGCCTTGGGGCAGGCTGATGGAAGCAAGGCCACTAATCTGTGCCACACACAGTTTCACAATATCAACCAGGCACTGGCATGCTTAGCTTCATAAATGGGACAAATATTCTTCAAAATACCATCCTATTATATTAGTCTACATTGTAAGAAAATTGATGCTATATTTCACACATGTAATTTGTTATAGTAATTTAATTCCTTTATTGATGTATGATCCTTGAAGACTCATAGTATTCCCCAAACATATATACTACTTGTCTCTATGTCAGATTTGAGCTGCTCCTTTGTCCCCTGTCCTTCGCGTCAGTGGTCTTCCTGCCCGTAAAATGACAGTTACCTGACACCAACACTGAGCACTCAACCAGACCTAAGCTTCTTCATAACCGCCGTCGAATGAATACATCTTTGGCTCCAATGGGATCCTGTCAAAGCTTGAGGCATTCACGTTAACACATCACTTCTAGTTGATCTGCCATCCACTGCATGATCCCTATAACTTTTTCTATCCTGTCTACTTCCCTATTGCAGTGGTGTAACTGACTAGAGACAGCCAGTCTAATTGAGATACGTGCAGCTGGGTCACTCTCCCATAGCCCACTCTCTCCCAGAAACGAGAATTGAATTAGCCGGCCCGGTGGCTCCATCAGACGAGATGTAAAAGCTACTGGTTGAAGACAATCAGACAAGGGAAGCCCAAATTGCCAGACACAGAGAGTGGCTTTGAATCAGGCCAGACAAGTACGAGCGTCTGAGGTGGTACAGTTAATAGGGTATTCCACTGGTATTGCACTTCCATTCGAAAGCACCTTCTTGATTGTCTGCGACCTCTTCTTTAATAGGATAATCAGAAATCCCATCTCGGCTACACCACAAAAGACCCATGTTTTGTGGGAAATGGAGGTAAAAAATACAGTAATGGGCTTTATCTGAAGTGTTGTATAAAGAACACTGTTAAACAAAATTGTCAAAAAGTGAAGTGTAAACTTTTTTGTAAATTAAGAGTATGATTTTTATTCCGAATTCAGTGCACCTGTCATCTATTTCAGATGCTGATCAAATTAACTTAAGTAATTAATTATATTTTTATAGGGAAAACAAGACGGCCTGTCATATAAGTGAATTTTTACATTAGGGCAGCAGCAATTGATTATTATTATCTCCAGTTTACTTTTCACAAAACATCCTCAAATGCATATTACATGTATGATTGACACAAACGAGTCTGTGTTGAATAATATTGACTTTTTTATAGTCTCTTCTGTTGCTTTCTGTCACGCAGAAATAGCTCTGTGTGGAAAAATAAATCATTAATTTCTCAGTTTTATCATAAAAAATACAACCACAGTAAATCTATTCAAGTTAATTGTAATCTAAGCTTTTAATAAATCATTGTTTCCTATTGTTTCCTATCTCTGAATAGGGCTGCTTGATTAATCCCAATAAAATCAGAATCTCAATTTGACAAGCCACAATTGTCAGTCACCAAACTCTTGCCTTGTCGGCTGCCGAGATTTGCCTAAAGAGAGTTGCCTTTTTTGCCAGTGATCTTTTCCTCTATTTACTATTCCCCATCTTTTGTTGAAAGCCATTCCCATAAAGCTGTCTTAGACTTTTGCACAGTATTGTATTTTTGCGGCGGGTTCACCTTGGAAATACCCTCAAACTGATGTCCCTCTCTCGCTGTGTGTCTTGTCCCGTGCAGTTAATCATGGGCTTGGGGACCCAGGGGGCGGAGAAGAAGAGCGCCGCATCCATCGCCTGTTTCCTGGCAGCAAACGGAGCAGACCTGACCATTCGTAACAAAAAGGGCCAGTCCCCTCTAGACCTCTGTCCAGATCCAAGTCTCTGCAAAGCTCTGGCCAAATGCCACAAGGAGAAGAGCAGGTATGGAGGAGCGTGTTGGTAAAGTGGTCCAATGATAATATGTGGAATGATGTCCCTACCTACAGGGCCTTACCGTTTTTGTTTTTATTTATTCATTCATCAGATACTTGTAAAATTACTATATCCACAATTTATAAAGTATTAAGAGGAAATGTAGATTTTTGTTTTATTTTAGTAGAATTTCATTGCTCTTTAAAAATGCATTTCTCAACTGTCCCAAAGTGATCTGATACCCGCTTCTTCTTCATTAGTTTATTAACATTTATGGACATTGGTCAGACACCCCTTATGGACCAATGGCTCTGTGTTTTTCATCATTGCATTTTCTGGGTTTGAACCGTTTAATTATCTGAACTGAGATGGCGAATCGACCACTTTGTAAAGTCCTCCGAGACGAGTGATTAAGATTAAGATTAAGAGATCCTTTATTCGCTCCACAGTTGGGAAATATCAGTGTTGCATCACAAGTTGTAAAACAGTAGGAAAGAGGAGCACACGGCACAAGTGTAGGGAACAATGGCTATACTAATTAAAATAAAGCAAAATCTCTAACTCTAGCATCAAAAAAAGTATAAAATCTCTATCTTGAAAATAATAATGCTGTTGTGATTTAGGGCTAAACAAAAATTAATTGAATTAAATCTAATTTCTTTCTTGCGATGGATAGGAGCAAAAACATAGATTAGACTACTTTCTTTTTGTATGGCTCAAAATAAAGTATTCTAATATTGTTTTTGATTTGCGGTTTGGTTTAAAACATGTAAATTATTCTTCTCTCCATAGATATATCAGACATAGCAGAGTGAAGTCACATTCTTGTTTCTAATGTAAAAGGAAAGGTTAATAATGAAAAACTTCCCAATAAATTGTAAATGAACCCAAGAAAAAAAAGCTGGCTGTTGAGGAATGCACATTTTTAAACCAAATTAGGTTTTTAAATGAACATCACGTAATCGCTTATTGCTAATCTTTTGTATACGTATTTATATTATCTTGGTGGGAGCAGGGGGATTAACTTCTAGGTGTTCAAACCATGAAAATGTAAGAAATCGTGAAAAATTTTCCTACTCTGTCCTTTTGTGAAAGCTTTACATGGATTGTTAGGAAACATAAAAATGACATGAGAGAGACATGAGAAACCTGCAGTCGGCCACAAGGGCATCCAGAAAGCACTCACACCAACATGAAACAATGACAACACAGTTTTAAAGTCAAATACATTTTCTTGCCTTTACTCCATCGCTCTGTCAGCCGTGTGACCTTCACCTGTGATCCTTCTCTGCTTCTCCCTGCAGCAGTCAGGTGGGCACACGCAGCCCCTCTCTCAACAGTAACATGGAGTCTCTGGAGGAGTGTATGGTCTGTTCGGACATGAAGAGGGACACTCTGTTTGGACCGTGTGGACACATTGCCACCTGCTCCCTGTGCTCCCCACGGGTCAAGAAGTGTCTGATCTGTAAAGAACAGGTCCAGTCCAGAACCAAGGTACTTCCATTATGTTAATTATCGTTAAACAGTTTACAGAATAGCAAATCCGTTACGAAGTTAAAGCAGTTTTCGTTTTGATTTGAGTTGTAGCATTTGTTTTTCCCTCGTTTCATGAATTGCTAGTTCTGCTTCTATTTATGTAAAATCAAAGGGAAAATGAAGCTGATGCTTATTTATAATCTATGTTGTAATTAAGGATTGATTGATTTGTTCAGTTTAGTTTGGTTTTATTTCTGTCAACTTTACCTTAACAGCAATTTTGGATAAAATCACATCCAGTCTGTATAATTGTAGCTCAACTTTTTCTTTTTAGCCGCAAGTTAGTTTTGAACAAGTTTGTTTTGAACAAGTTTGTTTTGTGATTTCACTTAAATTCTAAATGTTAATACTAGAATGAACTATTTTAGTGCTTAATAGGTATGTGTTTTGGAGCTTGTGTCGCAAACAGTCTGTATGAGACGTATTGTTTAAATGAAGGTAGTTAAGACATGACAGAGGAAATAAATGAGGCGAGAGAGGCCACTGTTTTATTTACAGTGAAGGAAAGATTCTCCGACTGAAGAGGAGTGTAATCTGTCACTAATTTTTTTAGCTCATATTTTCTGAAAACATGTTCTTTCCTTCTACATTCTAAGGAAGAGAAGTTGACATTCAGCATATTTACTTATTCTTGCCAGCCTCAACCCTAAGTTACACATGTGTGTCAATGTGGGCGGTGAATCCTTTCAAAGCAGGTCGGTGCCGCGCAGACCATGGTCACATGGCGCTCACCACAGTTCCAGTCCTGTGTGATCACTGCACAATTTGCACTACTCTATGCAGCTGAAAGCACATTTTTGGTGGTTCACCTTTCTATGATCTAAAATGCACATACCGATAAATGATTTTTTGGGGTCAGTCCTAGTGGTCTAGAGTCTTAAGTATGTCACAAAAATAAGATGTATAGGATATATGTAACTTTACAAAAAATAACATTTATTTATAAGGCTGCTACTGTGAGGTTTGGGGCATCCATTGGCTTCCTGACAGCCTTTTTGAATATGGTCGATCCCACCCATCTCCAGGTGCTGCCAGTCCAACTCAGCTCTCCCATTGACTGGTACTTGGAAGGAGGAGAGAGCCAGCAGCAGAACAAACCACACAAGACTGGGGTCGTCACAAGTATCAAAATTGTATGACTATAGAGACATTAGAAGTTAGAGCACATTGCCACATTTAATCTTTCGGACATTGTTGGAAGATCTGTTAATATCCAAATACTGTATACATGTCATTTTCTGCAGCCCCTGTTTGTTTTCTTTGCAGATTGAGGAGTGTGTGGTCTGCTCTGACAAAAAGGCAGCCGTGTTGTTCCAGCCCTGTGGCCACATGTGCGCTTGTGAGAGTGAGTACTCTTTCTATAAAGTGTTAAAGTCAAACAAAAAATCAAAGTAACTCACACAATTCTTCCATAATTTAGAGCAGGGGGGCTGTCACTTTAACCACTCAGAGTTTTAAACATGCTGCTGTGTAATAGACATTAAAAAGTAACTTCATAATGCAAACTGTAAGTGTGTTACTACGGTGACGCGTCAGGTCGAGTAATATAGAACCTGTAATTTTACATGTGCAGAATTAATCAACGGTTGTTTGTGTTGGACTCTTCAAAGGCCACAGTATAGGCAAGGCTAGGCAAATTTATTTGTGTGGCACAGTAGATACACAGAGCAACTCAAAGTGCTTACCAAAACAAGAAAAACTAAAATCATAAATGATCACAGTGCATTAAAAAGAGTGAAGAAGCATTCACAGCTGCAGAACTGTTATAAGATTAAGATTTATTAAGAGATCCTTTTTTTGTTCCACTGTGGGGAAATGTCAGTGTTGCACCACAAGTTACAGACAGTAGGAATTAGGAGCACATAGCACAAGATAAATGAATAATAACTATACTAAAAAATAAAATAAAATCTCTAACTATAGCATATAAAGAAGCCGTATAAAATCTCTATCTTTACCATAATAAGGAAAGAAGTCTAAAATCTCCAACTTTAGCAGGATGAGGAAACGAGACTTAAATACATCTGGATATGAACACTGTAAGTGCAGAAGCCTGTCCCACATTTTCAGGAAGACCGCTCCAGATTTTAGCTACACACTCTGTAATCGACTTGAATGTTGGCCGGCCCAGTTCTGACCCACAATCCCTCGCTCTGTCCAGACTGTGCCAGCCTCATGAAGAAGTGCGTACAGTGCCGGGCTGTGGTGGAACTCCGCACACCGTTCGTTCTGTGCTGCGGAGGGAAAGGTATGGAGGATGATGATGCCGCTCATGATGATGATGATGATGATGATGATGATGATGATGATGATGATGATGATGATGATGATGATGATGATGACCTTAGTGAGTGAATCTTCCACACGTTTTTTGCTTTAATTTACTTTTGCTTTCACCTTTTCTCCCATCTTTTCCTTTGCACCTGCACTTTTCCGTCCTAATTTGCACATTGTATCGTTGATGTCGTCTCTGCCTTGTGACATGTTTCCATTTTTTATGTTTTTTTTTTTTTTGACTTTTGACTTTTGAGACCTGTCTGCAGATAGATTTTGCATGCCTCGTTTGTACTAATAATTTATGGAAAGCTAGAAGTCATTTTAGGATGACTTTGCCGCCCACGCTGAATATCTCTGTCATACGCTTCACACATATGTTTTATTCATGCCGCTCCTCCCTTAGATTAACATAACACAATTGCATAGCTTTAATTACACAGGCTATAGATACATGTTTAATTTAACAGAAGCGCTGCGTCACACTGATCCTGAAGGTTCAACACAAGGACTCACTTTGTATCACAACAAGAGCGCATTTATTACGTTTTTATTGTATGTTTCCATGACATCCGAGTGACTGAGATCCTCATTTTAACTGTTTTGATTTGACAATTATTGACATTTTCATTTATTTGGGATCATTATAGTTCCCCAGGCTGCACAATATTACCAAAAACACGATGATGTGGTAGATTTTTTTATGTTGTTTTTTATCAATTCATTTATTTCAGGCCAACACAGGAGCAATACAGTTGGTATTTAATTAAAAAAAGCATATCTGTATCAAAATATTTTTATTTGGAAATGGAGGAGAAGAGAACTTTTTTATTCCCAACCCATCGTTCAATGAAAAACAAATACCTAGAGTCAAGAATTAAGGCATACCTGGAAAGTAAGGAATTAAGCATGGTGTGTATGGTAGAAGTGATAAGACTGCAAATACCAACAATAAACAATAGGTTTGGTAAGATTTAAAGTTTTTTGTTTAGTATTCTTAACAAATACTAAACATTTTGGTTATTTCTGCATGATTTAGGACTTGGCCTTTTGCTTTGACAGAACATTGAAAGATCTTCTGACCCAAACTCCAACATGCATGCTACATCATCATATCAAAGCATATGTTATTCTCAATGTGAGGAAATGGCATAAACTAAAATCCAAATTAAATTATATAAAGTTGAATACATGCATACTACAAGAGTAAATGGCAAATGCTTGGCACCTGATATGATTTAATTGTTTGTGATTCTCTAAACATAAGGGCAATTTTGCTTGTATCCCTTCCTTCAATGTTAGTGCAGCCATAAATCTGTTTCCTCAGGCGGTAAAGACCCACATTATTCTAGAAGCCACTAGGGGTCAGTATTAGAACAAAAGATGTCTTCTAAAATGTTTTAGTTTCTGCTTTTGATATTGTGCAGCCCCTCATCATGTTAGTTTTCCTTTTATCCTCCATTTCCATAAAAAGCACAGAGTAAACACTTTTTACTGTCATGCGGGGGCAGCAACATCCACAGCATTTCTCAGTGACATTAACATTTAACCAAAACCTGCTCACTTTGATAAGTCGTACTTTTCTTCTGTCTGCGTAGTCTCCCCAGCCTTTGTCCCCTAACACTGCTTCACTTTGATACTAAATTCTCCCTTCTCTCCCTGATCCTCCCTCTGAGGCCTCAGTGAGCAGCTTTGGTCCCTTTAGGCCAAATGTTGAGTGAGGATAGCTCCTTCTATAACGATGTGACTGGTTATTCTCAGCAGGGAGTTCTAACAGTATGGCAGGGGGGTCCCAGGATCTTCTCCAGCCCAACAATCTGGCTCTAAGTTGGTGTAAGTATCCATGAACAACCCTCCGGTTTGATAACGGAGCTCCCCGTAGTGCTGCCCAGGCCCCAACCCATTACACAGACGTTATGATGATTGTTCTTAGAATTGTACGTACACATTGGTGGTAACAAAATATGTTGCACCAAAATCAACATTTTTGAGTTACTTTTTAAACCTAAATTCCTTGTTTTGCTTTTACACCATTTAAGCCTATGTATTTTGATAAATGTGCATGGCAGATTTAAAATGTCCGCTTACTATTGTTTCTGTAGGGCAGAGCACAGGGCTCATAAGGATATTGTTTGTGTGGATGCTCCAAGATTAATATCATAATATTTTGACTTTAAGGTCATCATTTCATTGTGACTAAAGTCAAAATCAAAAAGTATTAGAGAATAAAGTTGTAATAATCTGATAAGACACACCTTGTCCTGCAGCAGTGGCAGCTGACCAAAGCAAACCTGCTAAATTATCAGAGAAACACTTGGACTATTTAGACTCAAGAGAAGCTCTATATGTTTTGAACACTTTTATATTTATATTATTAACATATTAAACTATGATTGAATCCTGAGGAGGAGCTTGTTTTCTCCAGAAAATAATCTATATGTAAGGAGAGGGTGGCTCTATGGAAAAAAAAAACTCTTAACTTTGTGCAGATACAAAGACCGTACAAGTCTTTTCACTTTCTGAGAACGAGCCAATATAAGATCTGTAGAAGTGCAGCTCTGGGCTGTTGGACTCACGCTTTAGACAGAACCAGAGAGAACCAGTTTAATGGTTAAGGCATTGAAGAGTGATGTACAGAACATGTATCCTTTACACAGCTCTAAAGCATCAGCTCTAAAGCATCAGCTCTACAGTGCAGCTCTAAAGCATCAGCTCTACAGAGCAGCTCTAAAGCAGCAGCTCTACAGTGCAGCTCTAAAGCAGCAGCTCTACAGTGCAGCTCTAAAGCATCAGGTCTACAGAGCAGCTCTAGGTCTAATTTCAACGACTCTTTTCTGGCTTCAATTTTAATCTCAGAGTGTTACAATTTCTCATAATTCGTCTGGTAATATTCTGACTTTAAAGTGTATATATTATGAGTTTAATCTTGCAGCGTCTCCAAAACGAATACATGAAGATGAGATTTAAGTTCAGTTCATATTCTTCTATTTCTATTCAGTACAATAAAGTTCATGCCATTTATTATTAGTTGGTTTTAAATAATTAGGTTGTGGTTCCGAATACATTTTACTTGCATTTAAAAACTATGTATTGTGCTACTGTGTTTCATAACAATTGTTAAAAAAAGGGGCAGACATCATAGTACTGTCCTTTCATTCATCTTTATAGAGTTTCTGTGACACCGTTGTTTTTTGATGTTTCTTTTTTTATAGAGCTGGGAACCTTTTTTAGGGCACGAGTACTTGAACGGTATTCGTTCTTTGGTTAAAATATCTGTTAGACAATACACTACATTGCGATTTCACCTCGCGGTTCCAGCATGCATTCAAAATCCATCCAAATCTTCCACCTCCACATTTCTCTGGTGCTTGTGTGTTTTTAGTTTCTTCCAAAGTCCCACAAAACCACATTGAATCGCCTGATACAAGGCAACGAACACCCCAAACAACCTCTCTATTTCTTAACTAGTACCTGTTAAAATGCCCGGACGTAAGTCATTGGTAGATTTATGGAGCTACCAACATTAAAACGTCTTGCGCTGTTAATAAGGTCCGTCTGTGTTCAACGTTCAACTAAAAAATTATTTATTTCAAATTGAACAAACTTGCTGATATTCACTTTAAAGATGACATATTTAGTATTTCATCTGTATTCACATTTAGATCTGTTATAATGGTTATTCATATTGGTTCACCAAGGTGTATTTTGAATGAGTAATCTGGTCCTTCAACTTTGAAATGAACAAAGTGCTAAAAATAATACTAATGACAGCACAAATAATCTACGTAGCAGGCGAAGCGTCATACGTCTTCTTTGTATAGCGACATTTTTACTGTGAAACTAATGAACAAAGCATGAAACGATCCAGCAGTGAATTGGACGCAGACCGGGTGAGAGCCATCGTTACAGGTTCCGACGGTGGTTGAATTTAATTGCACGCGTTTATACGTCTATAAACTCTTGAGATGACCCGTGTTCTTCTATCTCCTCTTGCGCTGTTGTCCTCCAGCGAGTGGAAACATCCCGGCTCTGCAAAGAGACAAAGACAACACCAACGTAAATGCAGACGTTCAGAAGCTCCAACAGCAGCTGCAAGACATCAAGGAGCAGGTGAGGAACAGGCTCTCACTGTCACTGCAGAGAGACAGGCCATATATATCACTGACTGCTGCTACTGCTGCTGCTACTACTACTGCTGCTGCTACTACTACTACTACTGATGATGATACTACTGCTACTACTACTATTACTGATGATGCTACTACTGCTACTACTGATGATCCTACTACTGCTACTACTACTGATGATGCTACTACTATTACTACTGATGCTACTACTGCTGATACTACTACTACTATTACTGATGATGCTGCTACTGCTACTACTACTATTACTACTGATGCTACTACTGCTACTACTACTGATGATGCCACTACTGCTGCTACTACTATTACTACTGATGATGCTACTACTGCTACTACTGCTGATACTACTACTACTACTACTGATGATGCTGCTACTGCTACTACTACTATTACTACTGATGATGCTACTACTGATGATGCTACTACTGTTGATACTACTACTACTGATGATGCTACTACTGCTACTACTACTATTACTACTGATGATGCTACTACTGATGATGCTACTACTGCTGATACTACTACTACTACTGATGATGCTACTACTGCTGATACTACTACTACTACTACTGGTGATACTACTACTACTTCTACTGCTGATACTACTACTACTACTACTACTGATGATGCTACTACTGCTACTACTACTGATGATGCTACTACTGCTGATACTACTACTACTACTACTGATGATGCTGCTACTGCTACTACTGCTGATGATGCTACTACTGCTACTACTACTATAACTACTGATGATGCTACTACTGATTTTGCTACTGCTATTACTACTACAGTAATACTATTGCTACTACTACTATTACTGCTTCCACTACTATTACTACTAATGTCACTGCTGCTGCTACGACTATGACTACTACTACTACTACTACTACTATTATTATCACAATTCCTAATGATACTACTGCTACTGGTACATCCACCTGTAGAGGTAATATTACTACTGCTACATCTGTTGCTACCACTACCACTACTGCTGCTGCTACTACTACCTGCCTATTATTCTCAAGCAAACATTAGTATTGGAAGATGAGAGAAATTACATTCCCTTTTCTGCATAATCCTTAGGTCACTCCATGTCTGAGTGGATTCTTCTTTCTCCCAGTTTCTGCAAGTCCAGGCTTTCAATAGGTTACATTCACTTGAAGTTGATAAGCCCAATGGTGCATATATAGTTTATTGCTCATAGATATCAGAAAAGCCTAAAAGTTCAATAAAGAACAGAACTAGTTGTATTTCAACATGTTTTCTGTGTTTGTGTTTGCGTAGACCATGTGCCCGGTGTGTCTGGACCGACTCAAAAACATGATCTTCATGTGTGGCCACGGCACCTGCCAGCTGTGTGGAGACCGCATGAGCGAGTGCCCCATCTGCCGCAAGGCCATCGAGCGGCGCATCCTCCTCTACTGAAGCCCAGTCCTCATCCTGCCCTCACGAACTGACCACCGTCTCCACGACAACACCAGCCTGACCCCACGCTTGTCCATCCACACCTGTGATATTCACGCTCTTAAAGACTCGATGGATTCCTGTTACATAACGACACATTTACTTTTATAATTTCATATAATACCAGTCCACCTGTGTGTTTTAACTGTGGTCTACAGACGTGCAAAGCCGGGGAGGTCACGGCGCCTCGTCCTTATGCATTACCGCGCCGTAAATGGTGTTTTTGAAATCCAGCTACAGATGTATTCTTGTTTGGACGTGACGACTGCGAGATCGGCGTTCAGATGCATGGTATAGACTTTATTTTGTCAGCCCAGGTTTTTACAAGGACTCAACCAAGCATAACATTACAGACCCCGGCTAATGATATTCTCATACATGCTGCTAAAAGAACTCCAAGATGATTATAGCAACAACAAGAAATTTTAATGTTTAAGCTTCTAATAAAAGCACATTGGCAAAGGTTTATTTTTTGGATGTATTATTTTTCATACAGCTTTGGCCTTTTTTCAATGTAACTATGCAAGTTGCAGTTTTAGTTTGATTAACTTAAAATAGAAATTTAAATATTTATTCCAATCTTTTTTTGTTTGTTAAGATATTTTCAAGTTCTTTAGTTATACATATGGAAAGACTATGTTTTTCTTCTTTACATATGACCATTTTAATCTTTTCAGTCAAGGATTATACATGTTATTTTATCCATCACTAATATTCAAGTTTTAGTTTTAATTATGGGTCATAACCGTATGATGCCACCATATATACTGTTTGTTTTTCCCATGCTTTCCCCATATCACTGCTGTTTGTGCGTTTCTCCTCATTAGCCTCCGCCTCGTTCCTGGGCCCCTCACGTTTATGGTCGTAATGTTATGCTTGGTCCTAAAAACAAATCTCCGCCCATAATAACACGCCGCTCAGCCACTCGTACCACACCTCGCACCTTGTTTACCGAGCCGTACCAGCCGCCATCCGACCGCCGTGTCGCAACCGCTCCTTGGACTTCACTCCAACGTCGTGTCCAATGTGTGGCGTCGGTTTGTCTCTGGTCACGGCTCGTTCTCTGCGGCGTTTTCTCACAGAACGACTGTAAAATGTGTAGGATTATTCACAAGCGATGACTTAAGTGCCATCCGCTTCTACCTGTTTGTTAAAAGACGTGTACGCTGCAAAAACGATCAAACATAAGGTAATAAATTCTAGAATCAAGTGGATTATCTTGGATTGAGTATGAGCAGTTTCAATGTGTTTCTTATTCCAAGACACTTTTGCGACAAATCTTGCTTTAAGACGGTCAAAATGTGCCCAAATTGAGAAAATAATTTGTCTGAATTCTTGCCATGTTGAACTTTTTTTGTCACTTTTTGCAGTGTGTGGGGTTAAGAATGCATCACATGTTATTTAAGTTAATACACTGCAAAAATGTATGAAATATAAGATGAAAAAAATCTAGAATAAAGTGGTACAAAACAGATCTGTCAATGGGAGAAGCATTTTAGTCTTCTTTCAAACTGAATTGCAATTTATGGTCTTTCCAAGTGAGAATTTTTGTTTTGCTTTTGACACATGACATTTTTGCGCGTCTTTTTGCCAAATCTATTTTACATGGTCCTGTCTCCTTCAATGCATTTTTGTTTATTTTTGTCCATTTTTGCAGTGTATAGAGTCAAGCTGTTTGCGTCACATGTTATTGAAGTTGTCAAACGTGATCACACTAGAAAGTACAATCTAAGAGTACACAAAGAAAGCGGTATTGTTAAATTATTTCCTAACGCTGCCCAAAAACTAGGATTTATCGAGATTCACTGCCTTCCTGAAATTGTGTGTTGCCTCAACTTTTTTCATCCTGCTTTGGTATGATTTGATGTTTGTAATATTTTTTTTGTTTGCTTTTTTTATATTGTGTTGCAATAGCTTCCTAGCAATCATCTGTAGAAACTTTTTATTGAGTAAAAATACTGTAGGTCTTATTTGTTTGTGAATTATGTATATTTTACTTGTTTTGGAAGGAAAGCTAATGATTTTTAAAGACAGAACTTGCCTTACCTCTTTTTAAATGGACGTCGCCCACGCGGGGACGAGAGTGAGCCGATATTATGACTGCTAATAGTTTGTTTTCTTATGGACTGAAAGAAAGGAACTGTTTTATCGACGACACTAAAGCTAGAAACACTACATCGCTTTAAGTAGTGTTGTCCCGTTACGGTTGTCTAAAAAAAAAAAAAGCCTATTTTGTACATTATTTTCAAAAGTTGTATCTTTGTCCTGTCGCAGATGTATTCATAGTATTTTTCTTTGGCATGAATGTGGACATATGCAGTACGAATAAAGTCAGATCGGTATTGCTCAAAAGTGCTTTTAAAACAAGCAAAAATAAACGCTCTAAAAATTAACCAAGCAGAATCAAAGAAACTGGTTATTTTTCTAACTCCTTAGGATTGTAAATGAGCCGGGGTTTGTTGTTTTTTTCCAGGGGAGTTGAGATGTAGTTAGCTGCGTATAAGCAGAAAATTAGCATCTTGTTTCTCTTCCCCTGCTGGGCGGCGGCTGCCTCTCGCTGGGGACGGAGCGACTGTAATGCAATTGAAAAACACCTTGTAATGACTCGGCACCAGCGTGTGAGAAGGCCCTATGCTAATCACGGCGGAGGCAGCAGGGGCCCGACATGCTCTCGGCTCCACATATAGGACACATGCAGCATTATGGGAAATCAACTTTAGACCAGAAGTTGTATTTTGATTTATTACTCCATTGGTTTGAGAATTTGAAGCTTGAGGTCTCATTGTGTAAGGTACATGAGATATCCGAGATGCTTAATATACAGATTCATAATTATTGGTTTGCATTTGAAGCTTCAGGTCTCAAGAAAATGTCCCTTTCCCTAAATCTCCACAGAAAACTATTGTCTTATTTTATACACACACACAAAAAAACAGACACCTGCATTTTCATCCAATGGGGCTTGGCTCTGGAGTTTTTATTAGATTTTTGTTTTAATTACAAAGCCTTTTTTCTATTAACGTTAGTATTTCCAATAACATGGAGTACTATCCTTAATTCATTAATTTCTAAATTAACTGTTTTTATTATTGAGAAAATGGCATGAACAATTCCCTGCCTATAAAATCCCCACATGATGTATTTTTGTTAATTACCTCCGATAGCGGGTAAATCATCAGGAGCCTCATTTATAAAACTTGGTGTGGTATGTTTACGTACCAACAAAACAAACACCTACAATTGTTCTCAAAATGTATGCATTCTCATTTTTCTTTGCACGGATCATGTTTTTCCATTTCTAATTCAGGTATTTGTAGATCACAGGTGACACATGGAACATTTGTGTACATCTTTATAAAGAAGTTTGGAACTTTTAGTTTGCAAGATAACTTCAAAAAGTCAAGGGAAGATTTTTTTTCTCTTTTGTGTGTAAAACTCAGAAATGGGACAAATGGCAACATTTTGGAAATGATTCGGGTCAAGAAATGGAACTGCGCTTCTTGTTGGAGGTCTGTGCTCTACGAGGGCTTTTCGAGTGACCTTGTGTATTACCAATTTTGTAGCTTTACCAGTAATCCAGATTCTTCCAGCGATATCAAGCCCTGTACAATTTATGGTCATGATACTGTAATATGCTATAGTTTTTCCTCACCAAGTACTTGCTCAACTAAACTTAACGAGATCTCAAGGACTGCATGATTACTGATAATTACATATGACTAATTCTAAACAAGGACTACACACAAGAAGATACACAATTAGGCTGTTAAACTTCTACACTAATAAGTTGTGGTCAATCAATCAATCTTCAGTTCACAAATCACATAAAACAAACACCAGAAATGCCATTTAAAACCCAATTCAAAATCACACAGGTAATTAAAAACATTAAAATCTCATTAATTAATAAACAAATAACCACAGTGCATTCAAAATATAGATAAAATCCTTCAGTTGTGTTGCCTTTATACTCTGTCTCCCTGTGTTAGACCAGCATCACAAACAGCACACAGTCAGTACAATATTATTGAATCTCCCCTAAGCCGTACTTGTCCCGCTCTTTGAAAGCCATTGTTGAAAGTTTGGCCTGTGTAGAGCGGCTGTGTAGAGCGGCTGTGGGCTGATAAACTGATGTATTCTCTCCGGTGAGCAGCACGACACCGGCACAGCTCCCCTGCACCACTAAATTACAACCAAGGGCCATTTGTGTTGGAGCTCATTGACTGCCCCATTCATAACATCTGGGTTTGGATCCGTGGCTGATCTCAGGTCTGCGGTGGCCAGGGTCTCACTCATCCATCATGCTGTCATCTCTCTCTCTCTCTCTGTCTCTCTCTCTCTCTCTGTGTCTGTCTCTGTCTCTCTCTCTCTCTCTGTCTCTCTCTCTCTGTCTCTGTGTCTGTCTGTCTGTCTGTCTGTCTCTCTCTCTCTCTCTCTCTCTCTCTCTCTCTCTCTCTCTCTCTCTCTCTCTCTCTCTCTCTGTCTCTCTGTCTCTCTCTCTCTCTCTGTCTCTCTCTGTCTGTCTGTGTCTGTCTGTCTGTCTCTGTCTCTGTCTCTCTCTGTCTGTCTGTCTGTCTCTGTCTCTCTCTGAGGCTCAGTGCAGAGAGAGACAAATACCTTTTGTTCTGTCAGAGAGACACCCCTTTACTGCGGCACAGTCCTCATGGTAATGTTATGAGAGCTCCTAATTTACACAATCACCCAAGGAGAGGAGTTTACCTGCTCATCTACACGCTGTAATTCAGGATTTGATATTTTGATCATTTATTTATTTTTTCCTTCTAGAAAAGCCAGCAAAGATGTTTGTTTAGATTAGAGTTTTAGATTCATTTGACCAAAACTAAGTTCTTGGGATGTCATTCGAGTAAGACAAAAGAAAGATTGATAAGAAAAAAAGATTGTCAATTGTAGAAAAATGACATCCCTGTTTAACATACTGTAAGTATTTTCATGGCATCTTTGATTCTCCAAAAACCGTCATCAGATTGCTAGACAACAATAATAAATAATGAATTGCTATTACGGTTTTAGTCATACTATACATGGCAAAACTTCTGTCCTTTACACCTCCAGTTTTCATAACAACAGGGTCTGAAAAATGTGTTTAAAATTATATTAAGTAAAGTATATATATTCATGTCTTCAAGTTTAATGGAAGACCAAACGTAGAGAAAAAAAAGCATAAAATCTTGATGTGTTCATTTGCAAAAAAGGATATATCTGTTTTAAAATTTGTCAAAATGGTGTATTCCTCAAGCTCCTATTGTCAACGTATTTTGTTATAGACAGTAAATGTCAAAGGATTTGCTCAAGAAAGGGTGATAGTTTATTTGTATGTAAAATTGAGCTGTTTTTTTTCCAAATAAAACTACTTGGTAAAGGGGAGATTGTAAGCCTTTCAAATATTCTTCTAATGACACTAATACGTTTTTACAAATCAAAAATTCCAATGCTAATTTATAGCAACAAATCACATTGAAGAATAATGTATTATTATTTTTTAAAACGGTAGCCTTTAATATATAGAAATCAAAACAAAACCAACCCCACTGCTCGCTCTGCTTCACCCATTTACAAAACCACACATCTTGAATTCAGTCTGGATGGAAAAGGATTTGAATTATTTGAATGTGATTGATTATTGTCTATATTATATCTTTATCATTTCAAACTTAACAGACCTTTATGATTCAGCAGTTTATTTGTGAAGCACAGTTCATACCTCACAAGACAAAGTGCTCAACAAAACAAGATATGAAACGGTACAAAGCAATGAAATAAATATTCACAGTACAATTTACAGATTTATAGATTTAGACAAAAAGTGTGATTTCTTTCTACGTTGAAAGAATGACACAATCCCTTAATCTCAGTCTCTTCTCAGTGGGGGCTCAGTGGGGGCTCAGTGGTGGAGTTCATGTCAGGTGCTGTGTGTTACCCCCGGTCCCGGTTGAGACGGGGTCCTGGTGCAGAGGTGCCGGAGACGGGCCCCTATCTCTGCCCTGTCCCTCCTCCAGCTCCAGGAGGTCATCTGCCCCACAGAGACGGGCTGACGTGGGCCTCCCCTGGACCCTCTGTGCCCCTCTGTGCTGCAGGCCTCACCGAGCACAGATAGGACCCCCCCGGACCCCCCGTGGAGCTGAGAAAACACTGCGACTGTTCTACAAGTCTCCGCTAACACCACTGTGAAAGGTCAGTGAAGCCAGAACTGTCATTTCTCTGTGAATAAATGTTTTCTTGTTAAGATTTTGAGTGTGTAAAGAGAGTCCCCACACACATACACACAGAATGGACTGAGCTGCAGCTTTCACTGTTTATCACAAGAGGGCGCTGCTGTCAACAACTACAATATACACTGTAATAAATGTTTTTATCATACATTTAGTACTTTTTACAGTACCAGATTTGCCAGTAGGACGGGCTGTTTTTGCTCAACTGTCTTATCTCTCTTAAAAACAACACATTTTGATTGACTGTTCAAAATGTACTGACATTTTCACCAAGAGAAATTACTTTTTATTATCGTTTTTTAACATAGTGGAACAAATGGATATGATAAAAAAAAATACAATTATATTATTCTATTTAAATATTATTGGCATTAATTGTATTTTTTTTACACGCATATGGGAGATAATTTCCTAAAGTATTTAAATAACTTTATATATTGATACAGTCCATAATGATGAATATATTAGGAACGTTCTTGTCTCTAGTGTGTAGAGTCAGCAACATACATCAACATTTTTAAATTGTTTAATCGCCAAACCTTCCACATAATATTAAAATTGTGTTCTCAAAATATGGTTTAATTCTCTAAAAAAACAATGTAACCCCAGCACTTTCTCAATCACACATTGTCTCCTTGTACTTCTGAACTCCCATGTTTTTTAACTTGTTTTGCGTTTTCCCTCTGCCCTGTTGGAAGCATTGATCGCTCCCTGTCTGAAGGTCTCTCCTGCTTCGTCCTTCCTTCTTTTTCCAAGTCATCCGGTTCAAAACGTCGAATTTATTGTCTTTCTTTATGACGAGGCCCGACCAAAGTGCACTGGGCCAGTTTGGACACACTGCACTAAAGCAGAGGGGAGGGGCGGCCTTCCTTTACACAGAATTTGCAACTTCATAAACGCAATATCAGAGGTAGCCCACAGTTTGAACGTTTACTACATATTCTGTATTTTCAAAGAGATGGCTGTTTTTGATGAGACTTTGTGTTTTGCTCAGTGGTCCCTCTTGGCTCCGCCCCTACAGTAAAGTCATAAATCAGTGCTCGTGCTCCTATGGGCCTCTGCTGATTGCTTTATTGATATTGATCAGGACAAAGTGTCAAGTCCCTCACTCATTCATTTTTCACAGTCAGGGAGCCCAGAGAAAAACATGCTGCTTTTACAACAGTGTAATGTTTTGATCTGTTAAAGCTGCGGTACCTGACATACAAACCTCACCAAAAATGAAATATATTTATCTAACTGGATTATGATGACGCGTGTTGAGGTCCGTGTTTCACTTTCAAGACACTTTCTTTTGGGGGCAAACAACATTTATGATTATTTATTTAAACAAAATAAAAAGTTAGGTACCTCAGCTTTAAAATATAAAGGTTTTGATTGTTAAAGATTAGATTTGTATGTGTATGTTTATTGTATGGTAGATTATAACAGTTTTTTTTTTAAATGTACCACACTGTAATGATTTTATACAATAAATTATTTGTAAAAAGGATCAATACTATACTATGTTAAAAAATACTAAATTAATCTAAAATAGTTAATTTAGAAAAAAAAAATACATATTTTTTTATGACCAATTTTACAATTTTGAATGAGCCTATTTTTATATTTTTCACGCAATCATGATCATTGTTCTTGATTTTAATACTCAATTGAAATCAATTCAAATGTCCTTATTTAGAACTAATACAATCCTTAAAACTTAAAAATGCAACAAATCTTACAGAAATATTGAAAAAGTCTATGGAAGGTGTCGATAAATCAGGTTTCACCAGACAGAAACCTCTCATTCATATCTTCATTCTATTCATATCATATCTATAACATTGAGATCTTGTATATGGGAAATTTCAGTGTTGCATCACCTGCTACAGTAGGAATGAAAAGCGCACAACACAAGATAAATACAATGGCTCTCTAAAATAAAATCTCTAAGTATGTAATCTCTATAGCTTTAGCAAAATAAGCAAATCCAAAATCTCCAACTTTAACGTATATAGTGAAGAAGTGACAACCTCTCTGTGGGTATATTACAACTATACTATTTAAATACTGCACCGTGATCAATACCAGCTAAAAAAAACCACAAATAATTCCCCTTTCTCCAATATTATCTGTCTCCCACTTGCATGTGCAGTGATCGTGGGCTAGTTGCATCGGTGCAGCCCTCTGCCCTGCTCTCTCTGCCGCTGCTGCAGGCCTCCAGTCTCTCTCCTTATCACACTCAGCTTGATTGGAGGCTGGAGCCACATTTACAGTGCAAATGTTATCGTTCCAATGACACTTTAAACAAACTTTATCAATATATAGTCATTCAAGGTTTACGAGCGTTGATAAAATGCCATCAACTAAGCACTCATTACTTCATAGCATCTCTTGTATTTTCTAATCTGCGTGTGGAGAACGCCAAAGTGGAACCAGAGCAGCCCAGAGGCAAGATTTTTACAGAACATGTTGAGAAGAAGTATTGATTTTGTCCTCGGGCTGAGTGCTGTAAGGCAATGCTGTTAGCAAAAGCTTATCACCCATTATCTTTAAAACAGCGGGTTATCATAATTGCTTACTTAATAATTCTATAAAAGAGCCCAGTTCAACCTTTGCCTTGGGCTGTAAAGCTGCAGAGTGTTTGATGCACAGATTGGAGACGTTGGTGATGGACCCGTGGCTGCTGTTAATTTTATTGGCTCCATTAGAAATAACAGCAGGGGATTTCTAATGAGTGGCGTGTAATGAAAAAGGACAAAGCTGCTCGTTATGCCAGCCCTGTCATAATCTGAGGGAGGATTATAAATCACCGATGAATTTTCAATAGATCATCGTGTGTAGACTGTAGGCCATCGCTGGAATCACTGTTTTAATGTAGTGATGTTGGACTGGAAGAGTTTTGTGTTGGTCTGTGTTGTGTGTTGTCTTTTATAAGGACCTTGAGTCTCGAATAGAGTTGTACTATTATTATTATTATTATAATTATTACTATATTGCATGTCTCTGCTCCTCTCTGGCATCAAAGTGCATTGCTCAAGGGCTGGAAGTCAGATGAAACTACAGTTGCCATACTGTTTTTTATTTTATAGCTTCAATGTTTCTCCTGAGATTCCCTGGAACTAAACAAGTTTGGAGTTACAAATAATCAGATTTATCATTGGATGTATCACCTTTTTTTATGATGTAGATAATAACTTTCTCTGAATATTGTCGAGGAATATTTGAAATCATGTTGAAATATAGGAAATATTGAGAAATCACATTTTTGGCATTTTTTAATAGTTTATTCTCCCCTTTAAATAAAGATGGGTCATTCAGAGACATCTTATAGTTGTAAATAGACTTTTGAGTGATTATTTCAAAATGACTTGCAAAAACACACAGAATTATTTGATATTGTCTAATTCACAGTTTTAAAATAGGTTTATATCATTAATGTCCTATGATTATATCCAAAAATATAGCAAGATTCATTTTTGTAATGTTATCCATCGTCTAATACATATATATAGAAAAACTATTGGGAATTGTGTTGTGCTATTGTTGATTTCCTAAGTGCGTTACTTCCACAACTGACGTGGCATTGTTTCAGAGCAGTGGAAATCCTTTTTGTCCATTGGTCGACCTGTAGTGTGGGCCACAGTGAACTAGTCCGTGCTCGTTCTGGAGAGGGCAGTGCAGAGACATGTGTTACCTGCACGGACAGTGAGAACGAGGCAATGAAACTAATCTACCCTCTCTAATTGAAATGATAAAACAAATACAAATATAATACATTTTGTGTACTTTAAATTACTGTTTGAGGACTTTGGATTTGGTTAAGGTTAGGGTCCTTAGCAATACAAAAATATCAATAATGATTAAACCGATTAATAAACTTGTATCACTTTATTTCAAGTCACTTGTGGTCAGGACAAGAAGCTCCTCCTCTTCTTCTTCTGTATAATCTAATTCTGTGCATAATTATTGACCCTATTGGGCCAATATTCCAAGCCTTTAAAATGTTGGCCTCACTCCCCTTCTGCCTGATGTGCTACCATGGACTGTTATACCTCATTTTAAAGCAAATTCTCTCAGGCCAGATACATCATTTATTTTATGCTAAATGAATAACGCAAAATGCAGATAAAACTATGGCAGCCTTCAAGCTTGGGTTCTGTTCTGTTTCAATCCAAACATAAGACAAAAAAATCATAACCAAAATTCAATAAAAGTAAGAATTTGATCACTCTGCCTCCAAAACGTAAGAATGAAGTGAAGATAACGTAAAAAAATAAATAAAAGAGGATTTCTTTAAAATAAACATATTCACATCAATGTCCATAAGTCGTAGTGTAAGAACTTAGTATGTCCTATAAATCATCACAACATTTTCAAAACTTTTCAAAAATCTGCCTTTAAATGGGTTAATAACAGAAAACCCACCTTGGTCAATCTCTAGTTAACATTTATAATCTCCCTTTTCTAGTTTCTTAAAAGTATGATTAGAAGCATTAAAGGTGCACTCTTCTGCTTCTTGCTTAGATATACTTTTGTTTTGCCTGAACTATTGCACCATTTGGTTTAAAAACATGTACAATCCTAAATGTTAGCCTTTGAAAAACATCATTCTTAATCAGCTGAGTGCAGTCACTTGCTTGTTTCGCAAAAGTAAATCTGAATAACAAACTATATACAAGTATCCAGATAAAACTACAACTTTTAGAGAAACCTGAGCAAAAAGCGGCCCCCACCAGCTCAGTTAAAGAATGCAACTTCAACAAACCTAAGTGTATCACAAGACCTTTGTCGTATGATCAAGTGTAATAATGGGAACTTGATAGTAAATGTCTAATGAGCTAAAAGTCTTTACCAGTCCTATTGTAATATACATTTATGGCTATTTCATTCATAGACTTTCCCCACAGCACACTATTGTCTGCTCCATCTTGTAGAATGGGGGAGTCTCTTGTGTGAGCAGAGAAAGCTCCCAAACCGACACATTGTACAAAAACAAGTGACCATCTGACAGGTGCGGAGCGGCCGGCAGCCTTGGAGAGGGAGTCAACAGGAATGTAGCTGCCCTATCTGCTCTCACCGGGAAATACTTTGTGTGCAACCTCCGCAGTCGCCATTTTGCCTTTTTGTAGTGAATAGAAAGAAGGAAAAAAAAAAAAAAAAAATCAATATTCCAGAGTCCAGCAGCGGCAGCGAGGCCTTCGTGCAGGTGTGGATGTGAAAGAGCCCACAGTGACCCCAGTCAGATGCAGTTAATGCCTAACCGCTCTTATCTGCTTTACAGCCAAAGGGTTGTACCTCACGATCAATACACCGTACACAAATATCACATCGCAGTTCGGAGCTGAGAGAAGGCCGCTCCACACCACCTGCTGCAAACGGGGGCGAAAACTGGCCGACAAAGTGCAAAAATGTGCTGCCCTTTGAGCCTACCTACAGTATCGCCTGTGGTCAGAAGTAGGAAGAAACTGGTAAGAAAATTCCCTGGTACGATTCAATTCAATTCCCTTTATTTACAAAACTTCATAGTCGTAAAAGTTAAACACATTTGTAAAGTTTGTGTTTTGTAAAAGATAACTCCCAGGAAGCCGCACTCGCTTATAGGCGGGCCCCAAAAACAATGTAAAACAATGTGACGAATGTATTTGTCTCAAGATACAAGAATTTGTTTGCCATTTGCAGTCAAACCACATTGGAAAAACTGTGCAAGATTACCCCAGTGTGCACCAGACAGACAGCACACACCAGAGCTCTTGCCACTAGACAAGCATCCAGATAAAACTACAACTTATAGAGGAACCAGAGCAAAAAGTGTCGACTCCCGATTGGCCAAATGCAGGTCAATATGTCTGTCTCAGCTTTTTTCGAATTCACAAACTCAAATACCACCAAGGCACTTGCCAGAGTCGGTCAAAGCTCTTGAAAACACAGACTGATGTTTCAAATATACAGGAAGATTCGTGTTATCACTCTATAGGTACTGCTGAGAGTTTTGGTCTTTTAAGGGGACTCCCGGGGCCAGTGGGAGGAGCTTATCATTCATGTTTTAGTAGGTACATTACCTGCAAGATTCCATTTAAAAAAAATATATAATTAAATGGACCGTTCTCATTCACATAGATGCATATCGTCCCAAACCATTTTGTCTTTATATATGTATATGTTTTAACCTTTACTTTAGAATTCACACAAATGACTGGACTCTTTCTAAAGCTGAGGCCCAGTAGTTATGGCCTCTGATTATCACTCATTTAGTCTAAGTAAGTAACTAAGTAATCTTTATTTATATACCGCCTTTCACAGACCAGAGTCAAAAAGCAGTTTACAATTGTTATTTTTGGGCGTCTAATTTTAAGTAGAAGCATTGACTGCACAGAGAAAAATCAAACTTGAAAGTCTGTCTTTGTGTTCTTTGCAAAATATGAAGGAGGTATAGCAGGGGATTTCAGACTGTAGTAAGACCCATATCAGGTTCAACAATTTCCCCTACGGCAAATATTCCTGAAAATGGGTTCAAGAGAGCTGTGAAAAAACCAGTAAGTTCCAGACATGCACATATACAATCCCAGTTAACTTTGATCTTTCACATTTCCATGAGTTTAATGGTAGTATTTTATTGACTGGTAGAACCCTAACCCTATAGCTACAAATTTCAAACATACAGTAATTTGCTTATCATTTTTCCTACGTTGGTCTTTTGATATATGTAGTAATAAAATTGCCTTTAAAAACCACTGCTTGTAACAGCATCAGGAGGCTTCAGGGTCCAAACCGCCTTCAGAGTCTGAAAAACCACACCAATACCCGCTGACAGTGTAGTGCTGCTGTGTATATGTTTGTAAAAGTATATCCCTCCTCTCTCACACAATTAGAAGCTTCCCAGACCATCAACACAAAAACAGCTAAATAATTTATTAGCAAACCTGCAGTTCAAGTCGACGTGTTTGCTTTCCTATTTTGAAATCGTCTTGTTTCCTAAGAGACAAATATTGATTCTCCCGGCTGCAAAACCCTGCAGTTCTCACCAGAGCATGTGTTGAAGGTCTGAGCCTGGGAAAGAGGCGGCTGGGCCCTGATAGCGGCAGAAACAGGCCCGCAATGTTGTTGCAAACTCCTCAATGAACTTACAAACTATGGAGCGACTTCTACTGAGCTTTTCGAGGTGTTGTGGTAGAGGAAAGTTGTCTAAGTTCACAGAAATAGTCTCACTTTTATCGTTGTGAAAATAAAATCACGTCCTCAGACTTTTTGTGTAACTTGCAAATGGTTAACCTAGAGCAAGCTTTTTGGAACTGAGAGCAACTTTTACAAAATAGGCCCTGGGTTTGCTTCCAACTCCAGATGGGGTCTTTCTGCATGTTCTCCCCGTGTGTGAATTTGTTTCCTCCAGGTGCTCCGGTTCCCCCTGACACTAAAAACATGTACATTAAGTAAAATTCCTCCTGCAGCTCCTGTCCTGACCAAGCCGAGCGTCATCATGGGTTACTGGGCTCTCAATATTCAATACTGACAGAGGCCCTTGTGGCATTGGGTCAAATACAGAGGATAAATTGCCCTATGGGGTGAAGAAATGTGTAGCTTTAAAATTACCTTTACCCTTTTGCAGTAGTAATACAATAATACAGTGTAGTAACTGTATAAAAAGCAAACTAAAAGCTTGGAACTTGGCATGACAATTCTCTGATCTATGTGGGCAAATTCAACGGTTGTGGAAAGTTCTCCGCAATAACTACTGTTGTGATTTACAGCTATACAAGAACACATTGAATTAAATTGTACTTCCCTGCATAGTTATAATAAATTATTATTCTGCATCATGTGTCGAGCTTTTGTAAACCTGAAAGGAGATGGTGAGCTGCTGGTCACTCCCGAGCTATAGTTTGGAGACCCTAAACCATAATCCATTTAACATTTTTACATGCATGTGTTATAATATTGGGGGAAATTATCAAAACATTGCACAGCCTTTTTTGGCAGTCTGACTAAATGAAAACACCAACATTTTTTTTACTCAACTCAAGAGGATTGAGCGAATGCCGCATTTTTACTTGTCATTATTTGTCATCAGCATTGAAGTAGGCCTCTAAATCTCTGCTGCTGCTTTGAGATAATGGATAGTTGTCTGGCTGTTGGTTCCAAGGCCCTGAGCAGATAAACAGAGTTAACCCCGGCAGCCTGAAGCGAGTTGGCATGTTCTGCTGAGCGAAAGGAGCATCCACTCACGGGACAGAGGCGCGTGTGATAGTAGCGGCTAATCTCTGAGGTCGAGCTGCCTGTGCTCCCGGAGACGGATGACGTTAGGGCCCTGATAGGATGTCTCCACCGCAGAGACAACCACAGCACCCACCCACCCAGCAGTAGCACCCATGGCTCATCCGCCACCGGGACAGGGAGCAGACCAAGACAGGACAGTGATTTTTTTCCCCAATAGATGAAACTGTTTTTGGCCTAGTTTTCATCACTATTGTTCTGGTTCACTTTAAAGCTGGGGTACCTAACTTCGCCCTCATTCAATATACATGGTGTTTGTCCCGACAGAGCAGATCAGAACTGGTTGCCTCTCTTCTGTCAGTCTGCCCCATGGCCCCCTGACACTGGCTAAAGACACCCCCCACTCCAGAGTGAACCAGAACTGTTCCAGTGTGAGTGAATCCGACCCAGTGTGAATGCTCCCTGAAAAGGGGTTGTATTAAATAATGCACTGTTAGCATGCTAGTTGTTTAAGATTGACTTTAATGAACAGATGTGAAAAGTATTAACTGTATGAACTCATCAGCTTACAATGCAAACAATACAATTACTCAAAAAAGGCATGCACACACACACACACACACGCACACGCACACGCACAAATTTCCATTGTCTTCTATAGTTTGTAGGCCGTAAATAAATGTACCTAGCAAGAGAAATATGTTGCAATCAAACTGTTGAGTGGATGTCAGACCAACCCTCATTCGTCTTTACCCAGAGCCAGCTCATGACACGTAACATTAAAATACCTCTCTCAAGTAAGTTCCAGTAAATGAAACTCATCAGCACCACCTCCGTCGCTGAAGAAGGAATGTGGAGCAGGCCATCAGGGTCTGTGGTGGTGCTGGTGGTGGGGGTGGGGGGTTTGGGGTGGACCATCACAGTTTACCCAACCTCTGGAGCTGAGGTCAGGGGGAAGCAGAGGGGGTCGGCTGGGGGCAGGGGCCACGTTCACCTCCAGATCACACACACACCCAGGAGATGGGGAGTGCTGGAGTGAAGGGAAGATCCCCCGTGTTGGTGAAATATACAGTAAGTGGTCTGTAGAAGGTACCAGAAGTGGCAAGAAATGAAAATTTTAAAACAAATCTGGAGTATAACTTTCAAACCACAAAACCTCAACCCCAAATGATTTAATATTTAATAACAATTTCCTCAAATTAGTTTGGTTCACTAGCTTTCACATGCATCTATTTCAGACAGAAAACATTACAGGACCATCCCTCATTCAGCCAATCAGCTCTCAGCCCAAAGTGCCGAATAGTGACTTACAGGATCCGGCAATGGATAAAGTGGAAAAAAACGGACGAATGGATGGTTAGCCATAGTTATACTTTTACTCAAATACTTGTACTTATATAGGAGGATTTTTCCAAATTTTATTAAAGAACCGCCCTCTCCACTTTTTGATCAAAACTCTCACCAGAATGATTGACAGTTGGGAGGACCAATAGTCTTGATGATCCACCCAGAAGTAGAAAATCCTCCTATATACATTTAAGTTCTGAAAACTAGTGCTGTGGACGTGGCTGTGTGAAGTAAGACAACGTGATGTACGATTTACATGTTCAACTAAATGGAAAATGCTGCTAACATTTAAAGTTTCAGAGTACATATAAAAAAGTATGAATCTTTATTTAGCACCTTACACAGAGTCACAAAGCACTTTACAATTGTTGTGGGCATTATTCGTCGCCGTACAGGAGACACACACTAATTCTATTGTAATCTCTAGCCCAATGTGATCGTTATGTTTTTACATGACAGACACAGTTGCCTGAGCCCCAGAATGATAACCTGGTTTTTGTTTTTCCTCTCCCCTGGGAAAGCTTGCGCTGCTCTGAGTCTTGAGCCTGTTTCAAACTCACTCTGGAGTTAAATCGGCTAAACTCCAGAAAAGTGCGCTTCACTGCTTCACTTTTCCTAATTTACTCAAGTGTGGTGTTGGTTCTGGAACATACAGTTATAATGCTTCATAATCAAATGCATTCCAAATCTTCTGTTTTCTAACTTTTGCAGACTCATATTATTTGCTCTATCCACCGTTCCATCAACTCAGACACTGTCCCTGCAGAAGAAAAGCAGCCCCACAGTATGATGCAGCTATCACCAGTTTACACAGTGGCGACGGTGCGTGTTAGTTGTCCACCAACCATCCACATATGGCATAGTTGTTCCATGCACATTCTCCATCTCAGCTGTGCATCTCATAATGGGCCACCTGACCCAATCTCTGATCAGTACTTTTGTTGTCTGGCTTGTTTGACAGCCGTGTCTTGGTAGCTTTGCAGTTGTGCCATACACCTTCCATTCAGAGATTGATTGAACAGTGCTCTGTAAGTACTGTATCTTCACCATGCCAGCCTAACTTTGCTTAAAACATCTCTCCTCCTGCATCCTCGACCTTGTGGGTTCTCTGTATTTCAAATGGCTGTTTCGTGGCCAATATTCTCTTCTTAAGCAGCTGTAATTATACTGAGATTCAATTACACTCTTGTGGGCTCTGTTGAAAAATATGGTCATAATTTGGACCATTCATCAGTCATCAGGAAATGTCTAAAGGCTTCTAAAGTGCCAGCCACACTTCATTTTAATAAAACAAAAATGAAACAATGTATAATTTTGCTTGGCTGCCGCTGAATTTTGTTGTTTTGATCAAATCATTTTGTTTGTGGTCGTAATGAGACAAAATATGAAAGAGTATGCAACAATACTGGTTCAAGGCTTTGCAAATGTAGGAATAGGTTTTATACTTATACTCTCCACAAACCTGACTTTTAAGCCTTGTAGAAAAATGGTATTAACCCCATCTATTGAAGAACATTCTGACACTATGATACTTAAACATGCCCTATTGTTCATTTCTTTCTCACGCCTACATCTGTGATATTTTCTTTCATTTCCAATAGTGTGCTGCACGATACACACTCCCCAAAAGCGACTACTGTAAGTATTTCTGCTTCTCCAATGTGTGTCACTGACAAAGGCTATCAGTACTACTTCATTATGTCAACAAATCCAGAGTGATCATGACTATCAGTGGTGATAGGACTCATTTGTTTAATGTAAAGATGTTATCAATTTTACAAGCCCTGCAAGTGTTATGAGCCTCTGCCCTATTCTACTCCGGCAGACTCCACAATCACATAATCACAAAAGCTATTCGATTACACGCATTTATCAGAGCAGCAGCTTCCTTTTTCACAGATAGGATGCTGACAACACTTATCGCTGCATATTGCCTTATCAAAAACAATTTAGCAGCAGACATTAGCCCAGATTTGGGAGCAGTGCGGAGAGCTTTTGGTCTTTGCTCTGATGGTACAAGGGTCTGTTTGCTCGGTACACAGCCTGTCCGTCCATAGAAGCATCTGCCTTATCCAGAAAGCTCAAATCAAGACGGCCTCATAGACAATTAGCGTTTCAAATTACAATCAAATTCAACGTCTGGACAAAAGGTGTTGACCTTGTGCATAGACCAGACAGTAAAGATGGACAGTCTATGTGTTAGTGCAAATACATTGTTACTCTATCAAATATGTATCTCAAAGTTGTGCTAAAATTAATATTTTATTTTAAATGCTGCATTTTTTGAATTCTCACGTCAGTTCGAGATGGAGTGGACTGCAGGTAGGTGAAGCATATCCCTGTAGTCCACTTAAAACTTTTAACATCAATAGTGATTCTAGACCAGGCCATGTGCATTGGATTTAATAAAAAATAAAATAAAAAAAACATCCCTATTTGTAAAGGCTAATGCAAAAATAATGATGAAACTCATAATCTATTCTGTAAAATCTAGTTGCACATATATTCACTAACATAACTACCACATCCTCTGTTCATGCTGCTTTTAACTTTGTATTTAACTGTATTTTAACTTTTTACTTGTATGAATTGTGACCATGAGTGTCAAGAAAGGCGCCTTAGATTTTTTAAAATTATTGTTATTATTATAAAAGATCTCGTTAGATGTTGCAAAAGTAAAGAGCAGGTTTTAACCACAGCAGCAGCTCTGGGCCTGCAGTAGGGAGGCTCCTCGCTGTTCGCTTCAGAGTCCAGTGTAAACGCAGAGGGTCATGGGGAGGTTAGCCTGACCTTGTGGAGCTGCCGCTGCCATTTATCAGCTCTAGAGGAGTGTGTGTGTGTTAAAGACCAGGCTTTTATGTATTCAAAGTATAGAGTTAAGCCAAACTCTCCAATGAATGCCGACCCAGGTGCATTTTTGTTACTTACAGATTGCATGAAAGAGAACTTGATGGTTTCTAATTTAAGAAAAAGGTAGAATATCTTGACCTTGTTCCCGCTGGCATTGAACTCATGGCTGATTGTGGCTATAATAACTCTCTGTATAGAAGGTGTTATTTATATAAACAATTACATGTTGCCAGTTTCTCCTTGGAGATGTCAGAGCTTTGCAACCTGGATTACAATCTCTAGCTCATACAAAACAAGGAAAGATGAGGGGTGAATACATTTTTGGTCTAGTACAATTTAAAAATAAAATCACATAGATTTGTTTTCTTAAAAACATGAAGTATTTCATGTGTAGTCTCTATTGGATCAAAATTTTACTTTAATTTCCTCACACATTTTCACCTTCATTATTTACTGCTTCATTACTATACTGCTAACAGCACACTTCCTGGTTTACAAAATGAAGGAATCACACTCAAAACATTTTGTTACTAATTCGTTTGTTGAGTTTGTGATTAAAGCCAAATCCATTTGTGGCTTTCAGTCTAAAGTGTCAAATAGTTACTCATAAGGTTCTTTCTTATGCAAATAATGAATGGTTTTCTAATAATAATATTATTGATATAATTTGTCTTAATACGTAGCTTTTGTTTTAAAACACCAAAGACAATTCACAGTATTATTCATTCACTCCACACACAGCTGTGCTAAGCTATAAGCACAACTGCCCTAAGGCAGACTGACAGCAGCGAGGCAAACTATATGTGACATCTAGCCCTCCGACCCCTACCAACCATTCATGCACATACTAAACTCATACTAAGCCGTGTGGGTAAAGTGTCTGGCCTAAGGACATAACAGGTTTGACACTTTAAAGCTATGCCTATTTCACTGTGGCACCTGCTGTTCCTAGAGGTCTCCCATCACAGCATTAACCAGGTCCTGCACTGCTTAGCTTCACAGGTCTGACAACGTTTAGGTTTCCCTTGTAAGTGGCACTATCAAGTTAAAAAGCACAATATTTTACTTTGTCTACTATGTTTGGATAATCAAAATGTATTAATGATTAGAAAAAGTATCCCGCCTTTAAGAGTCAAAATCTGCTCACAGTTGGAGTTAGGCTTAGACTAGCTTTCTGCGGGACAGAATACTACTGTAGACTTTAGAGAGTCCTGAATATCATACATTATATACACAATAAACAGGGCAGTAATTACACTTTGACCCAGAGAGCTGCTTCAATCTTATATCAGTAGTGCTTTTACGACTAGTGACAATTTAATTATGCTCAACTAATCACACCTCCATGGAGATGAGCAGGAGTAGAACCTCCCTTCTGTAACGTCCACCTTTGTAAACATCTCTATTAGTTCCTTTTTATATAGCTTTTATTCATCTTAGATGCTCAAGAGAATCTGTAGACCTGCTGAATATCACCCCATTTACATCACTTTTATACTGCGCATTTATGGTCCACAATATATATTTATACATACAAATACAACAGGCAAAATATGTGCTTAAAATATGTATGTCATATGTACAGAGAGATGAGCACACATCAGACAACGCCAAGTCAAACTTTTACAAATATCATAACAAAACTGTGATGTAACTTCCTATCCCCGTTTGTCATAAAATCATAAAACACCAAAAAGAATCCAAGCCGCTTCTGTCCGCACGAACCCAAACGTTTACTGCCGAAGAGATTTTTTTTTAACAAGATGCAATCCATGCTCCACGAAGGGGAAAGACCAGCCCATTAACCCTTGCCTAGTGTGTGTTCTGCTGGACACCTGTTGG